GTACCACTGTTTTCCACTACATTGTATTTTGGAGGCCCTGTAAAGAAAATGGTTTACTCCAAAGAAATAAAGGATTTGTGTCAAAGGAATAAAATACGATCTTTTAATGGTCATGAAATGAGCCTCTTTTTACGTTTGTATTCCGTTTGATAGCATCTTGAGTTATTTTCCTTGAGTTATGAATACAAAACATTGAAAAAATGGGCAGACATGGATTTATGACTTTAACACAGGATTGACTTGAGTGACATCAAGATAATGTGAGCAAGACCAGCATGATGTCTGAGGAACAACAGCAGAAGGACACATATCCCTGGTATGTTGGTAAAACACTCTACAATGAAAGTTTCAAGCCTTCCAGGGAATGAAGACCACATTTGGGCGGTGCTGATGACGCTGGGCTTAGGGAAAGTTAGGGGAAGCAGAACATGACCGAACTTTTTGTGCTGTGGTGGCCCCATGTGGCTGACCGGTTGCCTGTGGATTACTGGTCCTACGTGTCCCGCCCGGCACAGGGCACATCTTGATGACCTGGCTTTCCCCAGGGTGTCACCTCCATTGGCCACCACAGGGCACAGTGTGACCCATGCTCTAGCCTCCACGCCAATCTGTCCACACTGTCCCAAATGGAACTATTGGAGGTAGGTGCTGGGCACCATCATCAACTCCAATTGAGTCTGAAGGGCTGCAGAGCGAGGCCCCCTGGGCTCTCGGAGACAGAGACCTACAGGTCTGTCCCCTGCACCCAGGTCCTGGGGTGTTTGCACCTTAACCACTATGCTGCTCCCCAAGGGAGCTGCCTTTGCCTCACCTGTGCTCACAGCAGAGGCTGAGGACCCCTCAGGTGTCCCTAAACCCTGACTTCTCCCTCTACACTGGGCCCTTTGCTGCTCCCAACACCATATTCCAGGCCCGGGGACCCCGGGAGGTGCACCCCCTTCCCAGGCGGAAGGACACTGCACAGAGGCTGCCTCCGCCTAGGTTCTCTGTGAGCACAGCCCACACGCTCCTGCCCGCTGAGACTCCAAGCAGACAGGAAACTCCCAACGCAGGGTCCACTACCAGAACACTCCACAGTTATCACCCACTGCCCACATTCGCCTCAGGTTTTCAGCTCTTATTATTGGGTCAATGGCTTAACAAAGTGAAAGGACTCCATAAATCGGACTGTTCCTGGTCTCTGTCTGAAGCCTCCAGGGCTGGACAGCTCCCAAGCTGGGCGGTTGGATAAAGCAGCCGCGGTCCCCCCAGCGACCACTGCAGGTCCTGACTCTGACACGGAAGCTCTGCTCCAGGTACCAAGAGCGCTTTCACAGGTGTTGTCATTTCTTAGTACTTTAGGGTTCGGACTCCCGGGGTCAATGCCAGGCACAGATAGAGGTCCTTTCTGCTGCACTGATAATGTATTTTACTATAACACATGGAAGACACGTGACGCTCTGCATACGTGGATACTTTGTCATTAGTCAAATGAACCTTTTCTGCAGGTGCCCGGGGACGGCTGCGGCCACTGACATCTTTATGACGATTATACAATCCTGTGTCTCATGCAACTAAATATAGCTCTCTAAGGTGAAAATGTTTAACAGGCGCGCATTATTCTGCATAAGGAAAAAATAGTGCCTATTAAATTTCTTTTGAATTTGCTTAGTGTGGCTCTTTGCTTGAAATACGCTTTTTTTTTTTTGCTGTGATTTTTGGTCAGTAAAGCTGGAATAGTTGGTTCAATGGGCTGATTTTTTATGCAAAATTTGATTGATTTTTTTTTTCAAGACTGAAAAAAGACATCCATGTTGTCTCTCTGGACATCCCTGCTACGTAATTGTTTTTACCCATCAGCCCTACAATCACGTCCCTCTGACCTCTTCTCACCCAGCTAGTCTGGTGTGTCAATATCAGCAGCCTAAAGACCTAAAAAATCCAGTTTTGAATATTATAGAGTAATTAAAGATTTTGTGACTTAGTCAATACCACCTCTAGGCCTGTTTTCATGCAGCCATTTGGCTTAGCTGCTCAGACACACAGAAGCAGTGTGTGTTTGTACTGCTTCACAGGAGTGGGTCTTGTACCGTGTCCTCCTGGGAGCTCAAAGCCTTGGAAGGGTTCCTATCTCCTAACCCCAGAGGGCTGGCCGAGGTAAGTGGCTTGTGAACTTGTGGTGGACATGGAGGACCAGTCAGCTTTGCAGAGACGTCAGGTGGTGGCCTCCCTCCACACAGATCACTCCCTGTACACACTCCTGCAACCTGGACCTTGACTGCCTCTGAGGGCAGCGGGCGTCCCTGGACCCTGGGTGCTGTCCAAGAATGTCGTCTGACCAGGACTGCTGTGGTTCCAGCCCCCACACAATCCTCCCGGGCCCTTTTCCTGTGGTGTCCAGGGCTTACCACTCACACTGGGATCCCACCACCCAGATCCGACCTGCTCCACTGCTGACAGCCTGTGTGAACCTCAGCTAGGGACCTCCCTTCTCTGACCCCCAGAATCCCTGTTTGTACGATACAAATAAAAATCAGTGGCTGATACCCCTTCTCTACAATCCACAGAAGCAAAATCTCTGACAACAGATTTTTCATCACTTGCCTGGCAGCAGGTCTGGACCGGGCCTGACCCATCTGTTGCAGAACTGAGCAAAACTGCCAGTTGGAGCACCAGCGTATCCACTTGGCCCACATTTCATGACAGAATTGTTACAGAGATCGGGTATGGGGTGTGGCCCCCAGAGCCTGCAGGGTGTCATGTAATACACAGCATGTGCCCCCTGTGACCCGTCTAGAACCTGAAAAGTGCTGCCGCCCAGAGCCCATCCCTATCTCCAACAGCGTCACGTACAAACCTGGGGACTTTGGCACCTACATGAGTGCTCTTTGTGAGGATCAAATAGGACACTCTTGTCATTTGATACAGTGTCTGGCACATGGTGACTGACCTGACCATATTTTGGCTATGATTACTTTTATGTGAAGTGGCATATACCGTATTTGCTGGCGTAGAAGACGATTTTTTGGCCCTGAAAAATATGCCTCCAAGTGGGGGGTCGTCTTATATGCCAGGTACACTTCAGATAGACTGCCCATAGTGCTTGCCCCGTGCCATAGTGGCCTCCCGATGCCCGCNAACAAAAAACTCCACACTATGGCTCATTGAACAATGATCAAGTACTGTTGACCAGAATTTCACGATGTCATATTCACGATGCTTTTAAGGACGTCTATTTTTGGCAGCAATGGGGTACTCGTGGCTTGAAATGCACTTGAAATGTATCCAAACTTCATCTCTGAAGTCTTGGAAACATGGGCAGTCATGGAGCACAGGCCTTGAGGAAGGAGGGGATTACAAGAAGCCAAAAATATACGCGCTATTAGTATTCATCGTAGTTATTAAGATCCGTAAAGTAGGCATTCGAGTAAGTCTTCCCAGTGAGATGCGGGTTGAAGTATTTGTTTCTTTCCTCTAGGATCAAGTTGTTTTTGTTAAATGCCTGTAAAAAATAAAAATAAAAGATTTAAGGATACTCAGTAAATAGTATTTCCAAAAGAGAACAGAGCTAGGAGACGATTATGTTGAATTTGAGCTCTCTCCTGAAGCTCTGTCACTGGAAAAGGTGTTTCCTCACTTACTTGCTTCGTCACATTGTTTGCTCTACTGAGGATTTGCCTTGTTACTAGAATCAGGTTGGCAGTTTTTGATATCTTCCAGCCTATTGTTAAATTTTAGGGAGGAAGTTTCCAAGACTTAGAAAACCTAAATCTAAACCTCGAGGAAACCTAACACTCTAGTGAATTCAAATTAATAAACACTTTGAATGTTATCACATATAACTGAGTAGATATTTAAGCAGCTTTCTGATTAACATAGATAGGTACAATAAGGCATTTTGACAGAACTTATTTAAGTAAATGCATGAAATTTTGAATGACTTAAGTTCTTTCCCTTTTCTGCACTTATTAGAAAGTGACTACTATGGGCAACTCTGATACAAATGTGCTTAATTAACAGTCATTAAAGCCTCCTGCACTTTCAAAGAGCTGAACTATCCTAGATGGAGGGAAATACCAAAGGGACCAAAATAAAGAAGAAGCATGGTAGGCAGAGGCCAACTGTCCAGGACTCTTCTGAGCAATGTATCAGAAGAAAGTTCTGGAAGAATTTATTAGTGATTAGGCAACAGTCAGTGCCCCCAGAGACTCTGTTCTCAAAGCAGCAATATTTCTGACCACTGGATCTTATATGTGAACGGAAGACCAGCTAACTCATCTTCAGATGCCTGAAGCATTAAGAGTGACCACAGATAAGCTGACGAGTTGGAATCACATTTAGAGAACCCATTCCTGGATTCTGGAAGGTTGATTGGAAGGTTCCTGCTCATAGGAGACCATGTTCTTCCTCAGACATGAGCGTTCAGTTCTAAGAGAGTGTAAGGGGCGTTGTTAATTCCTGGTGCTTAACTCCCCAGCTGTCACCTGACCAGTGTAAGGTGGTGATGGACTCTGGATCCTGGTGAAGCAGGTCCATGGTTAAAAGTCATTGGTTCTGTCTGTTCAAATGGTGGAGAATGTGGGCCTCATGGTGGGTGGGGGACAAGTGAGGTCACTGTGGCCCTCGAGACATAAGACCTTTCAACCACTTGATGCTGTAACAGCTGAAGATCTTCCATATTCCCCCATCAGAAGGAAATCAGATTTCAAAGGAAACCATCATAGCAGAAAGAGCACATCGAAATATGTCCTAAGAATGCTTAGGGGAACTATCAACTTAGCAGGAATATCAAAATATAGGTCACTGGGCTGGTACGCCCTTCATTCACATGGGCAGTAGGGAAGGTCCGGTGCAGTAGACAAGGGCTCTTGATGTCTTTCCAGCTACACCCCTGACCTCGTGTGTAGACACAATGGGAACAACAGCTACAGTTTGCTGGGTGCTGGGCCCTAGCACCTTAGCCCATTGAAACCTCACAACAATGATAAGGGAGCACATGTTGTATCCATTTTAAAGACAAAGAAACTGAAGTTCAAAAAAGTAACTTGTACTCTCACCCACGATGCAAAATGCCTCAAATGAAAACTACCTTTATCTTGCAAGGCACTTTTCAAGGCATTTTATATAAATTATCTCATTTGATTCGCATTATTTTCAACTTATTTAGGGGAAAACGGAGGCTTAATGAGTAAGTTTATTTGGTTGTTTAGTGACTTGTGAACCCAGGTTTGTCAGGTCCAATGCTGATACACTCTCTACTCCTTTTCCTGGGAAATAGGAGAACGATCATTTACTCTAAATTTCTGGGTCAAACACTGCGTTAAGCATCCATTGGGGAAATTTAACAAAATACACCAGCCACACAGCACCTTTACATCATCCAAGCTGAAGAACCCCCATTGTGCTTGAAACTTATTTGAACATAGTCTTTATGGTAAGATGAAAATTTTTCCCCAGGATGCCATCCTGGTGATTCCTGAAATGGACCTGTATGTCTGATTGCCCAGCCTTGGTCCTCATTACCACTGCCCGGCATGTGTTGGTCCCTGGCCTGCGGCTCTTCTCTTGGGCATCGCCTCCCTTTGGATGCAGGAGGCACAGTGGAGGCAGAGCTGGACACTGGCCAATGACCTAGTGTCTTCCAGGATTTTATCTGTTGCTGTTTCCATGTCCTATTTTTAACCTACATGCCAAATACGAGGTGCCATCTTTTCACTGGCAAAGCAAAGCTAAAGTGGCAGCTCATCATAAGGGGTGTCCATTACCTTGTCCCCACCTTGTCACCTGCACCACCACCATGCGCTCTGCCAACAGCCCCCAGGCCCAGCTGCCTTTTCTGCACATCTGGCTGCAGCGGCCACTGCCCATCCCTTACCTTGATGGCCTCCATCGAGTCGTACTTGTCCAGTTTGTTGATGTGGTTAGTTATGCTGGTGTTGAGAGGGGCGGGCGCGACGGGATGGATGACAGTGGCATCGTGGGACTGCTGCTGGTAGCGCTGGCAGTAGGTGTAGACGAGGAGTGTAAGGAGGCAGCCCAGGATGGAGCTGCTCAGCCCCACGGCGACCATGTGGAACATGTTGAATTCTGGGGAGACAGCACCAAAAGTGATGCTACGCCAGGAAGGGGCATGCGACCCCACAGCTCCATGGGCTTGGTGCAAACAGAGGCAAAACAGCAAGCCCGTATCCATTCAAAATTAAAGGAATAGTAGTGCCTTCCTTTGAAATGGTATGGCCACCAAGATGCTTGTCCGTGGTGAGCACAGTATATTTTAATGCACTAATTGTATTGTTATTATTATTTTATTTTAATGCATTAGTTTTATTGTTATTATTATTATTTTATTTTAATGCATTATAATCAGTCTTTTGGAGATCA